GCAACTCATTGCACCAGTTGGGGTTAAATAACTTGTTTCCAGCTGAAAGATAATCGCACATGCAGTAATTATCCAATAGGAGGCTCCTACCTATTTGCTTAGCTAAATCCAGGTGGCGACTTTTTTTTTTTGGCCAGGCAGTGTATATATATATATAGTGTGTCAAAGTATTTGCCGAGTTGTTCTTTGCATCATACTGCAACATGTAAAATGTTGCGTCTTTTATTTATTTATTTTTCTTTTGCAAAACAACAAGCATGCAGGGTCCATGTTTGATCTGTGCTCTGTTTTTGTGTGTGTGTGTGTATAGGGTGTAACTCTGACAGACCTGAAAGAAGCGGAGAAGGCTGTGGCCAGATCTGCAGATCAACCTCCACTTACTCGAAACATCCAGCTCGTCAGCCCCATCGTCACGGTCACGCCTGCAGAACGGGGTGAGTGAAGTTGGCACTTCGCAGAAGCGATTGAGCAATTTCAGTGAAGTCTGAAAGTCAGCGGTGCCCACAAATAGAAAAAAAAAAAAAAAAAACACAACACAAAATAAGAAAAATAAAGGCAAGTTAATTAGAACTCTTTATTTTAAAACATTAACAATTTATAATAATCAAAATAAACAAATTAAAAACCTCTTTCCACTGAGTAGCTTAATAGTTTGCTCTTAAATGAGAAAGTTTAAAAATCAACATCTACAATAACCAACACTGAGTCACGTTTTTATTGGACATTTTAGAAAATAAAAACTTTTTTTTTAACCCCCAGCTTCATAAGGCTAGGATTCAAAAGTCAGAGTTACTGGTGTTTGGTTCTCCTCTCTGTGATGCTGTCCTGACATATTTTAAAATATAAAATCAGTCCAAAGCTCAGACAGGTTCTACCCAGATCCACTTCTTTTTACTGTAAAACAAAACGTTGTAAAAATGCACCTTTTTTTTCTTCTTTTCTTAAGTGCATCTGAGGGGAAATGAGTTTTCACACAGCACCTCTGCTAGGTTCTGTAAGGTGTGGTTCATCTGACGCTGTAGACCATGTACACACACACACACACACACACACACACACACACAGCCACAGCCACTGGTGAGCTTGTGTGATTCTCTTACCGAGGCTCCACCCTTGATTTATTTGACAATGACTGAGCATTTTCTCATCAGACTTGTTCACATCTTAGTTGATACGATTAGCTTACCAACGTCTTCAGGTTAACCTGAAATGTCTGACAAAAATGAGAGCAGCAGCAGCAACGGGCAAAATGGATTTCAGGTCCTGACATGTCGTGATGCTGTTTTGAGATAAGACTGTTTCCTGTATTTCCCCGGGTTAAGTGTAGAAACTGATCTGACAAATACTTACGGAAAAGTTATGGATAAAAGTCTGTGTCAGAAACAAACTGCCAGACAAAGTTTTACTTTTGTTTTTGTTCTTCCTCTTTTTTTTTAGTCTTATTCTCTTTTTCTGTTTTGAAAGAATTGGGGGGGGGGGGGGGGAATTACTTGTCATTGTGACACAGCACACCACTGCACATAATGAAATGTGACCTCGAGACTCAAGTCCGCTTTCTTACTTTCTTCACCTGATTCTTCTCTTTCTGCTTGCCCTTCTTTTTTAAAGTAATTATTATCATCTTGTTCCTAAAAGATCTAAGTCTTTGTTCTACTTTTTATTATTGGAATAGTAGGAATAGTTGTATATAACCGACCCTTGAAAAGACAATTTAGCTCAAGCCTCCGTTTGGAAGAGTTCCTTCCTTCCTATTGGCTCCTTCTGTGTGGCAGTCTGTGGGTTGCCATCACATACTTAACAGCGCCTCCTGTGGCAGCCTGTGTCCGGTGCGAAGACTTCCCCATTGTGATTTCCTCATTGTGGGACGAATAAGGGACTCAGTTGTTATTAATATGATTATTATTATTCTGGAATCTTAAAGGGCAAAAGTTAGTGTAAAAGGTGGTTCCATAGTGTAGCGCCTGCCTCGGAAGCAGAGGGTTTGGTTCCCAGAGGAACCACAAGCTTGATAATGTTGGTCCTCCTCTGAAAGTCACTTTGGATAAAAAAAAAAAACATCTGCTAAATGGATCAATTAAATTGTAAAAGGAACAAGGATGGACAATTGTGGAATCATGAAATATTTACTAGAGCGAATCTTTTTTCCCAAATGTTATGTTTTGTTTTTCTGTTTCAGACACTGATGTTTTGAAACAGACAGAGCCGGAGACAGAGAAACGTCTGGCTGTGAAGGACAAGAGGAGAGGGAGGAAGGAGAGACGCTCCACCGGCATCGTTCAGCCTGGAGGAGAAGTGAGGAACACATACATACACGGACATGCACACGTACACAGACAGTTGCGTGCGCGTGCACACACGTGTGTGTATTTAAGTATTACAATACTTTGAGGGTCTATAAAGCCGCTACTTTTTTCTCACACTCTGAACCCTGCAGCTTAAACAATGATGCGGCTAATCTATGGATTTTTACGGGCTAATGAATTTCATACCACTAGCGATTGATGACTTGGCAGGCGTGTTATACTAGTAGTGTAAGTCTGTCTGTGATTGTCTGTGTGCGTATATACACAATATTACCAAAAGTATTCACTCACCTGCCTTGACTCCTACTATGAACTGAAGTGCCATCCCATTCCTAACCCAGAGTTCAATATGATGTCAGTCCACCTTTTGCAGCCACTTATTACAGCTTTTTTGGAATTGTCCAAAATGTTTTGATATCCGAAGGCATGCAAAGTTCCTTTCACGGGAACAAAGGGGCCAAGCCCCTGCACCAGTGCACAAAGCAAGGTCCATAAAGACATGGATGACAGAGTCTGGTGTGGATGAACTTGACTGGCCTGCACAGAGTCCTGACCCGAACCCGATAGAACACCTTTGGGATGAATTAGAGCGGAGACTGAGAGCCCGGGCCTTCTCCACCAACATCAGTGTGTGACCTCACCAATGTGCTTTTGGAAGAATGGTCAAAAATTCCTATAAACACTCTCCTCAACCTTGTGGACAGTCTTCCCAGAAGAGTTGAAGCTGTAATAGCTGCAAAAGGCGGACCGACATCATATTGAACTCTGGGGTAGGAATGGGAGGGCACTTCAGTTCATAGTATGAGTCAAGGCAGGTGAGCCAATACTTTTGGTAATATAGTGTATGTGCGTGGGGCGCACAAGAGAGAACGGTAGTGAAAGTTAAGAGCAGTTTCAGCCCTGTTATGTTGACGCGTGAGTTGGTAAACAGGAGCGGTTAAAAAACTGTTTAGGTTCTGTTGTGACCGGTGTGGCTGATAATAAAGACCCCATCTTCCCTGTTTCTGTTCACCTCTGCTGTGGACAAGCACAAAGTGAAAGGGAGTTAGCCCCAGAGCTGATGTTAGCTGCGGCCCTGGAGCAGATCACTAAGTCTCCCATGTGCATTCTAGCTACGGTCGGGGTGCCGAAGCAGTAAAGAGCTAACGGGTAACCAGCCGTGTTACAGGCACTGTTTGGAAAAAAACATTTATTTAATTAAAACTGAAAAAAAGAAATCATTCTGTATAAGTCGGTTTGATAGTGTAGCGGTTAACACGCCTGCCTCAGAAGCAGAGAGCAGAGAGTCCTGGGAGAATCCACCGCTTGCTGGGGGCAGCCTCTTAACAGGCAACACAAAAATTTCCCAAATATGGGATCTATATAGTAAATTTTTTTTGGACATGGACACCTGCGGCTTATAGAAAAACATGTATATATATGTATATGTACAATTATTCTTTTCTTTTTAAATTTGGTGGGTGCGGCTTACATTCAGGTGTGTTCAATAGTCCGGAAATTACGGTAATCCTTTATTATTATTATTACTTATTATTATGAGATCTCCTGAGCACCTTAGTTTTGTTTTTTCCAGAATGAGGAGGAGGACAGTTATCTGGACGAGACAAACAGTATTAGCACATCTTGGTGAGTCTTTCTTTTTTTTTTTTTTGGTTCACATGTAATTTAGTTTGTAGGTGAAGCTGTAATTAAGTCAGGTGTGAACATAAAATACAACTAAAATAAATATTCCAGCAAGTTCCACTCATGGTTCTGCTTAGTGTTCACAAAATGTCCAAAATGCCTAAAACCCTGTGTCTGTCAAAATTCCGTAGAGCAGCATCCAGGTTCTGCACTTGGTACTCAGCTGATTTAAATTATTTTTATTTTGTTGGTTCCATAGTTTAGCGGTTAGTGCGCCTGCGCTTGTTATTTAAATTTAAATTAAATTATTTTTATTTTGTTGGCTCCATAGTTTAGCGGTTAGTGCGCCTGCCTCGGAAACAGAGAGCAGACAGTCTTGGGTTCGTGTCCCAGAGAAACCACATGCTTGTCGCTTGCTAGAGGCAACCTGTTAACAGCATATCTGCTGCCAACACAACAGTTTCCCAAATATAGGGTCAATATAGTACAAATTATTATTGTTATATCAATATTATAAAATGAGTATCGATTGACTTGAATACCTTTTTCACTCACTCTAAAAAGCAAGACGCTCAAAAGAACTGTGCTTCTGTGTTTTCAACTTTCAACTTGATCTCTTATTTTCTCCTGCAGTGAGAATGAACTGGAATTCTTATCAGCCGACTACAGAACTGTAAGTTGTCCTTGTTAAATCTCACTGCAAAAGTGATGTGAGTGCTAACGGGTGTCGTTTTAGATGTACCAGATTGTGCAGAGACCAGGCATGTTCATGAGTGTGTGGTTTCCGGCAGCTGTATTTCAAGGTGCTGCAGGAGAACCTGATTCTGAAGGAGAAGCTGGAGGAGATGGAGCTGCTGCTCAGCCAGAACAAAGTGGAGCTAGAGAGACTGCGACAGGTTCGGCAAATTTACCACTGCCTCGGAACTCTAGTGTAAAAACAGGTTTAGGTCGTCTGCGTCTTGTGTGTCGAAAAATAACAGTTTAAGTTACAATAGAGAGCAACTGGAAACCTAAACATCACATACAACACATTCACAAACACGAAAGATGTAAACCGGCATTACTGGCATTAACATTTCCGTTTTCAAGTTGCAGAAATAAATCTTAAAGTTTGTTTCATTCTTCCAGTACAATTCCTGCATTTTGCACTTCCTTTTTCCTTGCTTTGCACTTCCTAACACTAACTAGTAGTAGAGTATCAATATCTTCAGGTGAATTCCCAGAAATCCCAAGAACTCAACTAGCACCTCATGGAGATGTGTCAAACAATTTGCCTATTTGACTGGTTATCTGTTGCTATATTTGTTTTATTATTTACACCGTGTTCCAAATTATTAGACAAATGCTATTTTTCTCTGATTTTCCTGAATAGTTGATGTAAATGACAGTCATCAATTTTCAAGTGATCAACTATTAGAGTACAAGTTGAATGTGACTGAACAAACCTCCCAATGACGACAGTATTTTTTTTCTAAAATAAAAACTTAAAATGCACTGTTCTAAATGATTACACACAACAGAAGTTTCAAAACATTTTATTGTTGTAAATTAAATTAGAAGCATCAGCAGGTCAAACCTTAGATGTTTCACGAAAAACTTAAGCGTCATCATCGTACTATTAAGAGATTAGTAGCTGATTCAGAGCACACATGGAGTGGTGGATGGTTGGTGGACGGCCACCATGTCCCAAAATGACCTCTGTAAAGTATGTGGAGTTTCGGACTGACCACTTTTTTTCCGTGCTACAGAAAGAACCGTAATCTCTGTAACAAAATCATCTTCATGCATGACAATGCACCAAGGAATATCATGCTGCAAGGGATGCCTCTGCATCATTGGCTGGTATGGGCATTAAAGAAGAGAAACTCATGGTGTGGCCTGTCATTTCCATAAACTATTTAGGAAAATCAGGAGAAAAATATGTGCATAATAATTTGGAATGCAGTGTATATATACAGTGTATATAAATAAGTATGTATGGATGGATGTATATGAAGGGGCTTCGGCAGTTCTAACAGACCGTTTCAGTTCAGTTAGAACTGAAGAAGCCTCTTGGGTTCTCATCCCAGAGGCTCCGTCTGTTCTTATTTAATCTTCTTCTAATCCGTCCAGTTGCCCTCGATGCCCTCGGAAACGTGCATACAGTACGTGTGTGTATGTATGTTTAGATGTGTATATATGAATATGAAACTAATCATATGTATATACAATGTGTGTATGTAAATAATTCAGCTATTTATCCCTGTTTTTGTGACAGAACCAGGAAAATAGCACAGACCGCCCTGCACTGCTGGAGCTGGAGAGATTTGTGAGTATTTTTTTTTTTTTTTCAAACCCCCCTTTCTTTCAGAAGTGTTGTGCTAAAGAAGCTTAAATTTAAATATTATCCAGTTTTCATTAGTAATGAACACAAAGCTACTCTCCTATAAAATGTCCAGCATTAGAGACATACACAGCTGGAATAAAACAACAACAACAATAACTCTGCAGTTGCACAGGTTGTTGGTTGTGCTGGTTTGGAGGTACAGGGATGGACCAAGTACCGTATTTTTCGGACCGTAAGCTGCACCGCATTATAAGGTTTCAAGTGGACCAAGCAACATTCATACAGTATATCAACGAACGGGAATATTTTCTCACATAAGGCAGAAGAGAAACAAAACAGTCCCAGCGTAACAATTAAGCGAAACAATCAAGCATGTCCGGATCCCTCTCGTCAATATCCGTCAGTCAGTCTCGTTGCTGTTAATCAGTTGTTCAGTGATGATTCCGGCCTTCGTGAAAGCTCGGACGACATTTGAGACTGATACCTTAGCCCAGGTATCCACGATCCGTTGGCAGATATTGGCGTAACTGGCTAGGTGTTCTGAAGTTTTCTCCTTCCTATAGTTTTTTTTGCTCCGTGAGTCAACTGCGCATGCGCACAATGGCCGGTAGCAGAAATCTATAGCTATAGCTGAAGTTTTGTCCTACCCGTAGCGCAAATTTATAGGCATATCTGACATTTGTGTTCAGGGTGGTACAACATTATTATACACATCAGATCTTAATAAATACGCGCTTCTGACTCTATTTAGATTGATAGCACATAGAACTATAGATATGAAATCGCTGTAAATACGTGCTTCTGACTTCTGGTGTTGTCTGCACATCAGATATGTTTCCACTCAGAAGGAATTCTTCGGCGTGCTGTAAATGAAATATGAATGTAATTATGTGCTTGATTTTGGTACATTATCCACATAATAACACAACTGCCAGTTCCGCAGAATCTTCCTGTTGTAGGCAACCTCATTCCCCATTGGGTCAATTACAGCGAGGAACCTCTCTGCCATGTTCACAACCTCAAGTAAAGTAATGTCATATTTCATATCAATAAACAGGCTGCATAAGGACCTCCTTTACTATGCTTAATGGTCACTCTACAGAGTCTTGCACAGCCTGCTTAATTTGTTCCAGCCGAGACTTCATTTTTATAAATGTCCGCATAACAAAAGAGAATAATCTGTCGAAGTACTGAGTCATCAGAAATCAAACATTTTGGAAACAGACCACAAGAATCCAATGTGCAGTAACATTCGCATGATACAGCCAAACACTCTCTGCTGGGAACTTCATCTGTAACAGATAATATGGAAATATGTATGTTAATAAAGATGAGTTAGGACCCTACATAAAAAAAACGACTTACTTTCTTCATAGGTACATCACCTTATGGAGACTTTTAAAGAAGAGGAAACTTGCCACAATGTCGCTGAGATAAAATATGGCTTCCTGATAAAATGATCAATATATTTGTTAGTGCAAAAGTACAGTACATCCATAGACCATGTCAAGTAACTTCCATTCAAAAGTAACACATACTTTGTGGGTGATAGGGTGTGTCTCAGCCCACCTCCTCTGTTAAGTGTTGTTTTTTCCAGGTTGACAAATATGGCTTATTTTATGCTTCTCTCAAGCCGTCTGTCTTCCCTGGTCAAAATGTGAACATGAATCCTGTCCAGAAGAAGTTAGCCCCCCTGTGATGACTATGATGATTAGTTCACGGCGAAAGATTAGTTCACAGAGAATGATTCGTTCACAGCGAAAGATTAGTTCACAGAGAATGATTCGTTCACAGCGAAAGATTAGTTCACAGAGAATGATTCGTTCACAGCGAAAGATTAGTTCACAGTGATTCGTTTGCAATGAAAGATTAGTTTGCAGAGAGTAATTTGTTCGTAGTGAAAGATTAGTTCGCAGAGAGTGATTTGTTCGCAGTGAGTGATTAGTTCGCAGAGTGTGATTAGTTTGCAGTGAGTGATTCGTGAGTTCAATATGAACAAATATTTCATGACTCGGGAGTTACGAGTCACGAATCTTTCATATGACTGGGGAGTCATGAGTCATATGAAAGATTCGTTCACTCGCGAAGGACACATCGCTAATGGTCACCGTATTGTTCTTTTGACGCTGTTTCGTGCTGAGACAGAGAGAGAGTGTCTTTCCTTTATCGATAAAAAAGGAGAAATAAAAACAGTTCTTGACCACAAAAAAAAAAAATCGACAGCTATGCGTCTGAGTCATCCTGCATCGCGCCATACAGCGACAATTCAAATACGGTACTTCTTATTTTGCCATAACTGTCTGGAGAGAAACTGTTGAAAACTGATGTGTTTGCAGGAGAAGGTGGCCCTCCAGAAGAAAGCAGTGGAACTGGAGGATGAGCTGAAGGTTCTTACAGTTTTCCCCACTTCATTTCTATTCACTGCTGTTAGTAGTTGGTGACTTAAAACCCATGTACACTGATAAATGTGTCCTTCCTACAGTATTTGAGGGAGAGAATGGGGAGTAGTTATGAAGGTGAAGGTAAACTTTACCTCTTGCAACTACAACTGCTTTAGAAATATATCGTAAGCCAACCAGCCGTAGCGTTGGCCAAGCATGTGTAGTCCGGCACACAGACAATAATAAAGCATACGCAGCAAGGCAATAGTTACTCTTCTTTGTAACATATTACTTATACCGTAATTTCCGGCTTATTGAGCGCACCTAAATGTAAGCCGCGCCCACTAAATTTCAAAAGAAAAATATAATTGTACACATATAGGCCACATTGTAACATGGGATATTTACACAGAAAATTGTTACACAGAAAGGTTTTTTTTTTCACTTTTAATTAAATAAAGGCTTTTTTCTGAACAGTGCCTGTAACATGGCTTTACACGTTAGCTCTTTCCTGCTTCAGCTCCCTGACCATAATTGGAATGTACAGGGGAGACTTAGTGAGCTGCTCCAGGTCTGAAGCTAACTTTAGCTCCGGAGCCAACTCCCTTCACTTTGTGCTTGTCTGCAGCAGAGGTAAACAGAAACAGGGAAGTTGGGGGTCTTTGTTATCAGTCACACTGAACACAACAGTACATGTAAACAGAGTTTTAACAGCTCCTGTATAACCAAGTCACGATTCAACATGACGGGGCTCAAGCTGCTCTCAACTTCAATATTCATTGGTCTCTAGCGATATGAACTTTGTTAGCTTGTAAAAATCAATAAATTAGCTGCATCATTGTAACTCAGTTCCTTACTAATTGTGAAGATTTGTGAGGTGTTGTTTTTTAGAATGTAATGGATGGATATAAGTAGCAGCCTCAGATTTTGATTATATTTGACTGCTGCAGAAACAGGAACAGTTTTGATGGGCTCCATTTTGTTTCTTTTAGTTGAGTACACAAGCATTATAGCATATAAAGAATTGCAATGTTTCATCCGCAATGTAAAATACACATTGCTACAGTCCAGTTTGGCGATGCAAACTATTTTTTTTCTTTTTTTTTTCAGGTACTGGGGGACCTCAGAGCAGACAACCAGAGGCTAAAAGATGAGAATGCTGCCCTTATTAGGGTAATCAGTAAACTCTCTAGATGAGCCACGGAAAAAAAAACAAACAAAAAAAAGAAACGTTTTTACTATAAGTATTAACAGGATTTTACCAGTCAGTTCCACTTAAAAGACACAAACCAGGAGAAACAGGACACTGTTGCAGGAACCCCAGAGTCCTGCAGCTTGAACTGAAGAAAAAAAAACAAACCTAAGGATTTCAGGATGCTCTATTTGTTTTGAACATTTGTGACAAGATTTTTTCACACCTACTGTAAGAAAAACACAAACAAGCTGAACTGATCTGTTTGTGCACTGAAAGGGGGTTTCTGTAGTCATTCAACTTTTATATTCTTTTTTTATTGTTGTATATTTTTTTCTTTTTTTTTTTTTTTTAAATTGAAAGAAATCTATACTGTTAGACTCAAGAGCCATGCAGAGTGAGTTAGGAGTTGTATTCAGGTGCGATTTCACACCACAGTTGCTTGGTCCTCATTTCGACGTGGGTGTCGGTGTACTTGCTTGAACAGTGGTGTTGTTCACTTTGGTATGCTTTGAATGAACCATTGTTCATATCCTTAGATAGTCTGTGTGGTTTGGTCAGGTACAAAAGCTTACCTGAGAACTGGAACCAAACAAACAATTTGAAAACATTTGAGTCTTGTTGACTTTAATTGGATCAGAGTGCAGTTCACTTAAGAGTGTGAAAATGCAAGGAGTGAACCAAAGAGAGGAAGCGAACCAAAGAATGGAAACAAATAGATGGAGGTAAACAAAGACATAGTTGTAAAATGTCTTGGCAGACATGTAGAGGTGCAGATGATTAGTGCTTCATAATCTGTATCATGGAGGTTTGTGGGTATTTACTTGTTGGTGCTGGCCAATCATCACGAAATCATGTGCTTTTCTGTCATGGTCAGTGCTGGTTTAGGGTGATACCTCCATAACAAGAAGCTGTTCCAACTGTGTGATGTTCTCAGGCAGCTTGGTAAGCTTTCAGAAGTGCAGTTTGAAAGTGAACCAAATTAAAATAATAAAAATCATTCTGCACACACCTGACCAATTGAGTCCCAATAACTATACTGAACATACTCTAGTAATTTAGGTTTAAAAAAAAAAGCCAATTGTAGATTAGAACCAGTATTTGGAAGACATCCAAGTGCCAAAAAGCCAGTTTTGCATCAAACTGTGAGGTCAGTATTGTTTCTGAGGTTGAGTTTTGGGTCAATGCTTTTGTTTTCTAGCTTGCATGTTCATGTCCCTGCTTCTCTGAATGTATATTTGAGTATGGATATTTTTTACAGGGGCTGTCCATCAGTTTATCCATCTTGTGCCAATCTTGGACTCTACACGTGTCTCTTAGTGTTTTCTCTCTAAACTGCTTCATCTCCTTTTGGTTTAGAACTGTTCTGAGTTGTCTTCAAAAGTATGTGGTAATTTCACTTTGCCATAATCGTCCTGCCCTGATATCAGTAGTAGACATAGATGAAAAACAAAACGTACATGTGTTAACTGTATGTTAATGCCGTGCCTTTCTAATTAGGTTTGTATGTAATTTTTTCCAAACTTTTTTGGGTTTGTTCAGTATATTAATACATTTGGGGAAAAAACAAGAAATGATCAGTTTGTTTTCTTTTCTTTTTCTTTTCTGGTATATGACCCTAAATGTCAAATTTCTCTGCTAGCTTTTAGTTAACTGAATATTTATTTAGAAAAAAAAAAGCCTAGTGTTAATTTAAGTTCTGTTTTGGTAGGGAAATAATATACTTTGCACAAAATAAATGGGCCTAATATTGCTTTTTTTGTTTTTAATAAATGTCAGTACCTGTTTTTTGGTTATTTTGGTTTATAATTCATTTTTGTGGTATTTTTTAAAATACATGAATATAGGTTTTGGGACTGCTTTATAAGGCTGTTTTGAAGACATTATATTTTTAGATTTGTTTTGCAAAAATCATAGTTTAGTATCAATTTTTTGTTTAAATCTGGACAAACCAAGATAAAATGTTTGACATCTTTATTATTGATCATTATTTTTTTACAATGATCAATTTTACGTTATTCGGGTAAATATTACCTTCACCCACAATGATGTTGATTATGAAAAATGATACACATGAAAGCATAATTTGGGGTTAAATCTTACTGTAAAAGTATTATGGGTAACACAAAAAACAGTGAATCACTAAAGGAATCAAACTAATTCAGAAATTTAAATGTGTAATGCATCTAAAACAACAAACCGATTTAGCTTAATTCTAATAAACACAAAGCTATAAACAACAACCTTTTATAAGGTTACAAGTGTTGAGCAGTGTATGGGAGATGGAGAGGCCAAAGGCCTGTTCTCTGCAACTTTTTATTTCTATGTTGCTCAATGTCAAACATCCAGTCAGCACTGACCAGTGCATGTTCTCTGCAACTTTTTATTCCTATGTTGCTCAATGTCAAACATCCAGTGTTCTGTTATTTTCTGTTTGAAATAATAAGGCCATAGAATGAACAGATATTGAATAAACTGTCTCCAAACTAAACTTCTGTTTTGAGTTAAATTTAAATGTATCAACTCAGGTTGATTTTAAGTCGACTGTGCAGTCTTTACTGGTTTTAGGAAACAATAGTGGCTGCTACAGTGGGGCAAAAAGTATTTAGTCAGCCACCAATTGTGCAAATTTTCCCACTTTAAAAGATGAGAGAGGCCTGTAATTTTCATCATACGTACACCTCAACTATGAGAGACAGAATGGGGGGAAAGAATCCAGAAAATCACATTGTAGGATTTTTAATGAATTAATTGGGAAAGTAAAATAAGTATTTGGTCAATAACAAAAGTTCATCTCAATACTTTGTTATATACCCTTTGTTGGCAATGACAAAGGTGAAATGTTTTCTGTAAGTCTTCACAAAGTTTTCTGTTGCTGGTATTTTGGCCCATTCCTGCATGCAGATGCAGGACCTTGAAATGCATTCCTTCATTGCCCGGGCAGTGTGTTTGGGATCACTGTCATGCTGAAAGCCCCAGCCACATTTCATCTTCAGTGCCCTTGCTGATGGAAGGGGGTTTGCACTTAGAATCTCACGATGCATGGCCATTCATTCTTTACTTCACGCAGATCAGTCGTCCCGGTCCCTTTGCAGAAAAACAGCCCCAAAGTCCCAAATGATGTTTCCACCCCCATGCTTTACAGTAGGTATGGGGTTCTTTGGATGCAACTCTTTCGCATTCTTTCTCCTCCAACAAGTTGAGTTTTTACCAAAACGTTCTGTTTTGGTTTCATCTGACCATATGACATTCTCCCAATCCTCTTCTGGATCATCCAAATGCTCTCTAGCAAACTTCAGACAGGCCTGGACATGTACTGGCTTAAGCAGGGAGACACGTCTGGCACTGCAGGATTTCAGTCCCTGGTGGCGTAGTGAGTAATTGATAGTAGCCTTTGGTCCCAGCTCTGCAGGTCATTCACTTGGTCCCCCCGTGTGGTTCTGGGACTTTTGCTCACCATTATTGTGATAATTTTGACCCCACGAGAGGAGATCTTGCGGGGAGATTTTCAGTGGTCTTGTATGTTTTCCATTTTCTAATAATTTCTCCTACAGTTGATTTCTTCACACCAAGCTGCTTACCTATTGCAGATTTAGTCTTTCCCACCTGGTGCAGGTCTACAATTTTTGTCCTGGTGTCCTTTGACAGCTCTTTGGTCTTGGCCATA